TTCCCGAGCACTCCTGTAACGGGTTTCGGTTCCCGAGCACTCCTGTAACGGGTTTCGGTTCCCGAGCACTCCTGTAACGGGTTTCGGTTCCCGAGCGCTCCTGTAATGGGTTTCTGGGGCCTTCAGCCAGGGTTGGGTTTGTTGTATCTGAGGTCCCACTGAAAAAGCCACTGTGGGACCCCCACGTGCTAGAGAGTGAAGTCAGAACATTGAAGCTGGTTAGCAGAAGATGCTACTTCACCATCTCCTAAAGAACACGTTGATTAAATATTTAGTGTAGTGACTGTTTGTGGCCAACAGGGGTCTCACCTTGCAAATGTGTGGTTGGATTGCTGCAAACACCGGCACCAAATTCATCATAAATTCAGGTTGCAGCCTGTTAAATTATAATCTATTGAGTGGTGAAAAAAAATCCAATAGCCACTATGAGGTAGGAGATACAAATTAAGACAAGTCTACAGTTCTGTTTTAAGGTGACAGTGTTGCTTGATAATGTTTCCTTCACTGAAGAATTTTGAGGATGAGTTCTCATTTAGAAAATGGTTGACTCATACTAAGATATAATTTTGACCTGTCGCTTTGTAAGCGTGTGGATATTTTCAGAAATCCAACACAAACCCATGTTGATGTGTCCATGTTACTGGGTGTTCCTGTATTTCAGTCAGCTGAAATACAGGAACATTTCATCAGCACCCCAATGAATACTCTCTGCCAACTCAGCTTAGAAGATCGGCCATCAACGACTGGCCATCAGTGATGACTGACCGTCATTGTCCCAGGATTTGACCAAGAAAATGGCATAGAGATGAGGTTTCCCAGACGAGACATTTGGCCAAGGCTGATTCATCAAGTCATAAGAACTGGACAACAAAATCATTGTTAAAAGGAATAGGGACATAGAGTTTGTCACCAAAACAAAGTCAGGTAGACTGTCAACTTCCAATGTATTAAAAACATTTGAACTTTTTACACCCCAAAGGATATTATATTACACCAACATGCTGAGGAGGCACGTGTTTCACAAGATTTTGAAGATACTTGACAGGAGTTTCACAAATTAATAGGAGAAAGAGTTAGTCTGTTCAACAAAGGGCAAGTTCAATGGCACTACAACAGTGACATCTAATCTCGGGGGTGGGGCTGCTTAGTGTTCCATGAGATCAATGGGTGGAGAGGCTACTTATGACATTCCGTCCTGCTCTTAATGTCACAGACATTAACATTAACACAGGAACATTGTTCTGCTAAGCAGACACCGGTCCGTTCTGTAGCCATCGCCTGTCACACAAACGCAACCTCTGATGTCAAAATCAGGATGTGAAATACATTCCAGAAGACAGAGAAGAGTTAGGGCACATGACTGGATGGGGGGGGGGGGCAATGTCCCGAGAAGCATGACGACTGCAGAATTGGGATAACCTGTGAAAACTTCATGTCCTACCAGCTTGTAGTTAAGCTGCACGCTTTGCTGGAGATCGCCTTTGTAAAACAGCGGGGGGTGGGAGGTGCCGCTCACTGGGCCATTGTGCCAGCTCTAGAAAAGAACAAGGAAAACATTTTGCTACACAAAAGGCAGATAGACCTAGATTAAGGTTTCTAGACATGTGGCTCAGGGTGTTTATATTCTATTTTTGTTTAATAATAGAGTTTGGCTGCCAATCGTTTTATTACACAGTGCACCTGTACTGATTCCATTAAAAATGCTATGTCTTGCTATCCAAAGCCCTGCTATTGTCAGCGCCCTGGGCTTCCACTGTAGCTGTTTGGCTCTGTATTAGGCTGGATAATCTGGGCTGTGGTCTTTGTGGTCCAAGAGAAATTGGAAGAACCAGTTCCATCTGTTCTGGAAAACTACATTTTGTTTTTCTGGAACAGGGATGTGGCCATGGTGTTTGAAATGGGCTGATATTAAGCTCCTTGGCACAGGATTACCAGGTGCACTTAATCTACTCAGTCCATGAGGCAGCAGATGAGCAGAGATTTGGGGTCTTGTTTTTGCTTGTACTGTTGTGGGGGGGGGGGGTATGAGTCCTTGAAGGTGGAGTTAATATTGAGGAAAGGAAACAAGGATGCGTGAGCCACTGTGACGAAGTGGGGAGAGGGGAGAGCTCCTGCGGTAGAGTGACTCGTGATTGTTTTATCTCACCAGAAGCCTAAACAATGTCCAGAACCCGTAGTCATGAAACAAGCAGAGTATTCAGTAAACCAGACAGAAAGCGTCAAATAAATGAAGTAACACTAATTCACTAGGGAACTGCTCAGTATGTAGTCAACCTCCCAGTAAACCGCTGGAAATAACCAGTATTTAACTAGTCAAGTGGGAAGCAGGTGATTTTACTTAACACAGGGAGGATTTTTGGGCAGAGTAGAAGGTTGTACGGAAGATTGTAGGTCAGTGGGTCCTGGAGTGTGACAGTTCATAGCCCCAGAGATTCAGGATGATGCTCACAGTCAACAGAGAACATCCCTTTCACTGCATTACCATCATTCTGGAACCTTCCACAGTTATATAACTTATCTCAGGAAATCACAAATCCATTAATACCATTCATCATTCCATCCAGGTGCCAGAAATGTCTTTGATTCTGTCTTTCTTAATCCGAGACATTTTTATTGATCTTGCCCTCAGTTAAATTTTTACAATTTTCACATATGTCACTGCCCACAATCAATACAATTAAATGATAAATACATTTCTTTTATTTGAACTGCCACAAACCAAACATGTAATTCAACTGAATAGCAGCATAGCTGTAATGATGTAATTTCTACCATTTACAGACACACATTGCATGACTGCTATATACCCCAAGCTGGGTATACCTGCATCTGGCTCTCTCACCTTTATCTCTATGTCTACACGCTTATATATCAATTGCACATTGTTATTCCCATTTCTACCTCCATTTTATTATTTTATTTTATTGATTATTATACTTTTATCTTGATTGTATGTTTAATTGTACACTTCATGTCACCACCTGCACAAAAACAAATGCTTTGTACTATTTCTACTTTGATAATCCAGATAATTCTGGATCTGATGTTAAGCATGTGAGGCACTTGGCCAGCGAAAAAATGATTTAGTGATAAAATGATTTAGGCAGTGAGCCCCCAGAGTGGGTTACCCTCCCCCGACCTTGAACGGCCCGCGAGCCCCCAGAGTGGGTTACCCTCCCCCGACCTTGAACGGCCCGCGAGCCCCCAGAGTGGGTTACCCTCCCCCGACCTTGAACGGCCCGTGAGCCCCCAGAATGGGTTACCATGTCTTCATCGTCATGCCAGCCTTAGGCAAGAGGCCCTGGCTGACGAGTGGACGGCTGGGGATCGGATCGAGAGCTGGGGGGTGGGAGGGTGCTTAATCCACTTAGGGACGGGGTATAAGAGGCCCAGCCTCCCCCCCTTGTCCTTCTAAAAGCAAGTGTGGCCAGAGCGACCTCATCTGCATTACAAGGATAGAGCTGCCCCGGGTTCCCACCTCCTCACTGAGGGAATCCACCCAGCTGGTAGGTATGGTGTCCTGGCGACACGGGGGGGTCAAGGGCGGGCGAGAGAGGAAATGGAGAGGGCAGGCTGCATGGTGGGAAGTTCTGTGGATGCCTTCTTTGGGGAATGCTGGAGCATCAGTTCGGTGGTAGAAACAGGATAAAAACTAGACATAAGTTGTTTTCACACCAAAACTTTTTCTGGAAAAAGGTTCTTGTTGCATAAATAAGTTCAAGAGCTATGAAAGTGCCTCATAAGGTGGATTCCTGAAGGAGTGGTGACACGGTGACACAGTGTGAAGGTAGGGAGAGCCAAGACGAAGGGAGAGTTAATTAACGCGTAATTAAAGGGATGCAGGTTTAATGGAGAAAAGCACGAGATGGACACAGCAGCGTAGACAAACCTCCACCGTGCGGCACATCACCCGGCTAAGCCTCCCCCCCATAACACTAACAGTATAACAGGCGAAGCTTTAGCGTGGTGGAGGTACGGTTGTTCATGCTAAGCAGTAAGCTGCTGTATGCTGTACTAGCTGCATGATCTGGCCTGTCAACCTCGTGTCATGTGAATTTGACAGTGGCCTCTTTACAGTGGATTCCCTAAAGGATCACACACTTATGAAGTTGTGCTACATGGGTAGCAAAGCCAATGAGGCAGAGTCAACCTTGAGAAGATCACCGGAGGAGTTAATGAATAAGCTGGGCTGCCTGTAATAGCTGCTGGGTTTAATGGTTAAGAGTAAGAATCCAGTTATAAGGAAGCAAGTCACTGTGTATTTGAAGTCTTCTCTATGTGTGTGAACAGCATGAGGGTCACAATGGAGTAATGAAGTAAAACATGAGCTAGATGGTGAGGTTACTCCTGTCACACTCTGGGGTCTTAGAGACCCCATCAGCAGGGAGCGATTCCAAAATACAGACAGCAGAACTCTTGTGTGACGGAGTGACAGTCAGGACTGGAGTAGTTCTTGGCCACCCACTGAATAGGACACTGGAAGGCTTTAGAGAACTTCTACAGACACAGTGACTCCTGTGAGGAGGCACACATGCTTGAGCCATAGGGTAAATGGCTGTAAAGTTACCGCAGTGCCTGGGAGCTCAATCTTAGACGTTCCTACTTATTCCTAGTACATGAGGACACGTGACAGAGAGAGGGTCGGTTTTCAGAGAAGAAGACTGGGTGTGGACCAGGAAGATTGTAGGGTAGAGAAAGAGAAAGCAGAGGAGATGATTGTACAGAAGACGGTATAGAAAGACAGGTGGCACTTTGCCCTCCAGGTATATTCTTGGTGGAACATCACCAAAGGCAAAGGCACCTAGAGGTACTTGTGTAACAAACACACAGGAGGTTGCTTTGAGCAGATCTGTTTAGAGGCATTATCTCCTAAGCTAACAGAACATCCAAACTCTATACAACAGACTTCTGCCAACAAACTGATTATTTGCCATGAGACCCATTTGAAGTAGACAAATGTTTATAAACAGTGACATTTCACACATAAGTACAATTGCAACAATTCAATTCTTCATCTGCTAGCAAATTTCAAGGCACCCATTCTCTCTCACTGTTCAACAACACTAAAATTGCTACTATATAATATTTGTTTAGGATGGTATTATTTTAATCAGTTCTGTTGCTCTTGCTATATAACTCACAGGTTTCACTGTTTAATTATCAATCAGAATCTCGTTTATGCATTAAGCCGTCATCTGCGAAACGGCACATCGTCACGTTGCTCTGCCGGTGATTCGCTGAGGAACGAACCGATTCAGCAGGTTATTCTTTTCCACCCCTCTCCTGCATGCTCAGCATGTCCTCGATTTAATGAGGATTAACTGAAGCTCATCACCAAGGAGGCCTTGGCATTAAACTAAGCAAAGGATTATGGGGGAATTGGGTTAGCCCGCCACTGCCTCCCTCCTCATTGAAACCCTTTCCCGCCACGGCAGGAACATCTTAGCTTATGTGGACGCAGCTGCTAAGGTAGTACACAGTAAAGAGGATTATGGCGTTTCCGCCCAGCCAACAGGACCGTGAACGGTGACACGTTACAGCAGGGATGTCACATCCAGGCAGAGCTGGACGAAGGCTGTGGGGACGGGGGAGCTGTGGGGTGGGCGGCAGTCCGAACTGCCGTTGAGTTTCCTTATTCAAACCACTGCATTTGTGATTGCAGTCTAGGTGTCATCATCCAGACATTATGCATCGATGGCAGAGTGTGACACGGCCACACGATTAGCGATTTTTAAACAGGCGTTCTTGTGTGTCCACCAGTATGTTTCAACATCAGGTGACCCCCCCCCCCACCCACAGGTTGGTATTTGGAGACTGTGTTCAATCAGGTCCTCCTACAAGCCCCACAGCCATGAATCTAGAGCCCCCGAAGCCTGAGATCAAGTCAGCGACCCGCGTCTCTGGGGGGCCAGCCACGCCACGCAAAGGCCCCCCCAAATTCAAGCAGAGGCAGACCCGTCAGTTCAAGAGCAAGCCCCCCAAGAAGGGCATCCAGGGGTAAGGCAGAGCGTGTTCGCCCGCACGCCCAGCACGGGGGCCGCTCTTCAGGTTCCTTGTATTCAGGCTGCTGATTGGCCTAAATACCTCATTGCTTCTGCTCTGCTTTTCACAGTTTTGGAGATGACATCCCAGGCATGGAAGGCTTAGGCACTGGTGAGTCATGGTTCACTTCTCATTTCGTGAACAAATTCGGCCACTCAGTGTTTCCGAGGTGCTCAAAGAGCTTAGATCAGTGTTTCCCAGCCCGGTCCTTGGGGGCTCCCCAACAGTGTGTGGCAGGGAGCTGGGAGGGAGCTTGGGGACCGTCTGGGAAGGACCGGGCTGGGAAACACTGACTTAGAAACAGGCAGTGATGTCAGTATAAACACATAAGATCATTATGGTCTCGGGTTCAAAGGGAAAATTAAGGCGTTACTTACATGAAACCTGTATTACATGATCTGATCAGATGCAGGGCTTGTTCTTCAGTAAGTCTGCAGCCTGAATGTACATGTCTAAGGAAGCCGGGCGCAGTGCGAGCTGACAGCCCAGCGTTCCGTTTGTGCTCTGCCCCCCCCCTTTTCCCTGCAGACATCACTGTCATCTGCCCGTGGGAGGCCTTCAACCACCTGGAGCTTCACGAATTGGCCCAGTATGGTATCATCTGAGACCCCAGCTTCCCACAGCCCTCTAAACGGTTCACCTCCTCCTCTCCAAATTAAACATCTGCCTTTGGATCAGACTGGAACTTTCTGGCACATACTCTACAGAAAACGCTACAGCAATGACAAAAAAAGCAAAAGAAAACAAACATAAACTCCATCTTCCTTTTCTGGTTTCTTCTTTTTTTCTCTGAATTTTCCATGCATTCCTGCTCCTCTCCAGAGCACCTTTGGTTTCATTGTTGAAATTCCAAGTGGTCAGGTGTACTCTGTTGTCATGGAAACTGGCTGGCCAATCCCCTCTCTCCACAATGTGCTTTTTCTTACCTCTCCCCAACTGTTGAGCTTCATGTAAAAGGAATGAAACTCGAAACTTAAGCTGAGTTTATTGAGCTGACAAACATGATAACCCATGAGACCCCTCAGTTTCATGAGCCCCGGTGTCTGGGGCCACCTGGAGGCCACCTTTGGAACTGCACCTCTGCCTTGTTTCTCTCAAGTCCCGTAGAGATAATACTGAGGTCTGAGGCTGACGCCTGCTGGCCGATGCTAAACATTGCATTTCTCCCACTGGATCTCGGTCTACCATAAATGCAGTTTCTCTGCCGGCCTCCAACATAAGTTAAAAACCACCAACTTCATTCATTAGTCAATCCATACGATCTTTTTGTTTTGCTGACTTTATATATTTGAATTTGCTCAGGGAAGCTCGTTCTGTTTGGGTCTTGGAGGCCACCGTATTTCTTGACTATCGGCATGGAATTTAAGTGGGAGGTGTGGGAGGGGGTAGTCAGATGTTCTCCATCAGCTACAGCAAAACACCTGTCATGATTCATTCAGTCTTTTCATGTGACTGAAAAACCACATGAAATTTATTTAGCTCTGTCTCTGTCTCTCAGTCTCTGTCTCTCAGTCTCTATCTCTCAGTCTCTGTCTCTCAGTCTCTGTCTCTCTGTCTCTCTCGATATCTCTCTCTTTCTTTCTATCTCTGTCACTCTCCCTTTCATCATCACAATTTCACTGTGCAGCTGTGTTTCTGGTCCTGACTTTATGATCTGAGCAGTCTGCCGGTCATTCCATATAGCACCAGCAGATGTTTTTTACCTCTAAGCTTACATTTTAACTTTGAGCTCCACGTCATTTGGCTCTGCTGTAAGTCTGTACTAAAGGTCTACACCACTCCTTTCGCTGTCACAATCTGTGCTGCAACCATTCATTTATATATTTTGATTTAATATTTTATGCTATAATTCATATTGTATATTGTATCCTATTCTGTTACACTTTGCTTAGTGTTTTCTGTGTGATGTAACTGATGAAATCTCTCAGCTCCTAGAAAAGGCTGTTACATGTTTTTCAACAGGATTTCATCACTCTCTTCTTCTCTCTCTGGCTCCCTCTCTTTCGATAGCTCTTTCTTTCTTTCTTTCTTTCTTTCTGACTTGGCTCTCTATTGAATGGGTTGGACCAATGGCTTGGAATTCGGTTTAGAAGTCCAGCCAATGAACCAGCGGCATTCCTGTTGTGGGTCCATCTGGTGCTATGATGGAGTTGTCCACTGGGGGCATTGTGCAGCATGCGCAGTAATTCTGCCGGAACAACAGTCCTGTTTCATCACAAACCAAACTGACCGAATACCTCCTCAACAGGACTGTATTGAAATAAAGCTTGAAAATGTGGGAGTTTCTTCCTGCTTGTGGTTGTTTAGTTTCTTGTTATTTCACAACTCAGCTTGTATTTGCTGTGATACCCTCCACACCAAAGATTTTGTTGCTCAGGTAAGTTACATTAATGCAGGACCGTTTTATACACAGAAAAATAAGGAACACCTCAGGTGCTACAGAATATGAACTATTCAATTTAATTACAACCACGGATCATATAAGCAAAACCACCTTAAATACTCCAGTTCCCTAAAATACTCCATATGGTAAAATCAGTGGTAATTTGTAATCTGAGTAATCTTATCCTGTTTGTCTGGCAAACTTAACATCAGCCATTAGAGTATGTGGTTTATGTTTGTTCAGTTAGTTTAAGTGGCACTCAGTTTGTTTACTTAAACTGATTTTGACCATTAACTCAAACCGAGTCCCGTTCAAATGGATTCCTCTCCTCAGAAACTGCATTTATTTCAAATGAATGAAGACACTGGTCAGAATGTCCAAGGGTGCAGATTATTAATGAAAACATTTATTGAACACAATATATTCAGTTATAAACAGGAGGGCTAATATGAAGGTCGTACATTTTGGCAGAGGTCTGATGACTCAGCCAGTCTGTCAGAGTGGTGACATGCCCATGGCATTAGGGGGGGGGTGGCACAATAACCTCATACAACCCAATAAAAACATGTCACCATGACAACAAGGAAGGAGGTAATCATTAAGCCCAAGGCCAGTGCTAGTCCAAAATATTTCCTTACACGTAACCCAGTTCAGTTTTTACAATCTTAAATACAGCTTTAAATATTTCTACAATCTTAAACTACAAAATTATGGAGAAACCTTCACTTAAAGTGCATACTGTTCAATGAAAAGAGTATGAATCCTTTCTAGGAGTGATTAAGAATGTGTGAGTTTGGAGATGAATGTTAACAATTTTCTTGCTTAGCAACGGGTACCATTGGATGGCAGGATCCAATCAGGGATCGCCCTGCAACCTAGAGGCGAGTTCATACCATGAGAGGGAAGCTGCTATTCGGCAGGTGAGAGCACAGCAGACCTTTTTTTATTAGATATAAGGGCAGACAGCTACCAACAGGGCTAACATACGCTGGACCACAAACTACCTTGTTCAGCATAATGTGCCTCAAGTTCTGCAGAGCTTCCAGGACAGCCGTCAAGGTGCTGGTTCATGGGAAAAGAGAAGATGGCTCCTCCCAGTCCTCCCCACTTTGGCAGGATGCCTCTGAGGGATATGAGGGCCCCTCCAGTGCATCTCCAAGGCTGGGAGCTCATGCAGATCCTCTCTGCCAGGCCACCTTATTCCTCCGTATGTCCTCCAGCAGACGGCCTGAAGCGAACAGGACCAGCACCTGGATGCCCAGGCTAATGATCGCCACCGTCCACATGGCCCCCGAGTGCCTCTCCACCCAGCGGGCCACGGCCCCGAGGCAGCCGCCCAGGAAGACCACACTGTGGACGGAGAACTCATCCAGGTGGCGTGCCCCGAACCCGCACTGCGAGTTCCCCACCGTGCCGTTCTCAAGGGGGTCCACACAGCAGGAGGCGGGCACCCCACAGGCCTGCGCGCCCGGGGCCGAGCAGTTATAGTAACTGGGGGGGAAGGGGAGACAGTCAGCAAGGGACATCGTCTGCTACACCACCCTGACCAGATCTGATCCTGACCAGCTACAAACTGCAGGAGCCTGTTTTCCAAACAACTTCTGACATTTCACTTTCCTGACAATTTTGACTAGAGTCAAGAAAACCTTAGATCTGTTCCCCACAGTCACTGAAATGAACAAACATGCTATAAAAAGACTGCTGTGGCCTCGTTTGGTGCAAGTTCTGCTATATCATCCCACAAATTAAAACAACTCTCAAGGGGACAATTAAAGGGGTGCTGTGTGGCTCATTGGGTTAGGACGATGTGTCAGTGATCAGATGGTTGCTGGTTCAAATCCCAAAACCAACAGAGTGATTTCACCACCCCCTGAGTGAGACCCTTAACTGTCAGTTGCTTCCAAGAGCAGCTGATCCTGAACTGCACATCACTTTGGATAAAAATGCCTGCAAAATAAATGTGACTTCTGTTGCTTTTATTCTACCAGGAAAAAACACCACATTGTCCCATGTGTTGGCCAGATACTCACATGTTGACCTCCCAGTCCTGGTAGCTGTCAGCTCCGCAGCACTGCAAACCCGTCTGGATTTCATCCACGATGAAGCGCAGGTCCAGGTCATCTTGGTAGCGAGCCATGGCCGTGAGCATGCCGGCGCGCAGGGAGCCCTCGATCTGGCCCTGAAGGCTGTAGGCCACGATAGCGGCCAGAACCTGTGAGCTCAGCATTGCCAGCAGCCCGGCACTGAAAGCCCGCAGCAGGCAGACGTTTTCCCGCAGGGAGCCCAAGCAGCCGGACAGGCACAGCAGGAACAATGCCAGGCCCAGGCACACAAACAGCAGCATGGGATCCGTGCCGATGTGGCCAATCCTCTCCTGGGCAAATGACTCCTTGTCTACCAGCCCCCACATGCCCAGGGCCAAGGTGACCAGGCCCAGGACGCAGAAGACCAGGTTGCTAAGGAAGAGGAGGTACTTCAGCACAAAGGCGCTCAAGCTAAAGGTCGTCTGCGATGGCAGCCCCTTCCGTATCTCTGAGAACCCACTGCTTCGACCTCCCTTGTCTGCGGGGGAGGGCTTCCCATCCAGAGCCTTCTGGGAATCTTCACTTTCAGAGACGGCTGCTGTCCCCAGATCCCGGTCACCCTTCAGATGGAGGAAGAGCGAGAGGAGGAGGATAAAGGAGGACACTCAAAGGAGGACACCGGTTATGACTGAAAGAACTGAAAAAAATAACAAAATGTACAGTGGAAAACACAACGAAGGCTGCAGAACCGGCCTGTTAGCGTCCCGCAGAACCGGCCTGTTAGCGTCCCGCAGAACCGGCCTGTTAGCTTCCCGCCATCGCTGCAGAGTGCAGCTTCTGAATTTTTATAGCTGTCTACGCTGCAGAAAGAGATGCACAGGACAATACCTTGGGTAAGAGTGGCCTCGTCTCATTGTCCTGTGTGCTGTCCCTCCTCACCCAGGGAAAAGGAAACTTCAAAAACAGTCTCATGTTCTCCAGCTATCAGGGCAAAGCCGTGCTCGCAAGCGCCAAACCCAGCACCGTGTGAGAGAGAAACGAGCGAGTGAGAGACGCCGTGTCCCGTGAGGTCCGGGAACAGCACCCAGACCCGGGCCTAGAGCTAAAGTCACAGCATCATGTGAGAGTCACGGCTTAGCGATCAGCGCGCTTCAGTGCTCCAGGGAGCATTTTTGTGACGTCTGTACATGGGGTCGGGGCACAGATATGTAGAAAAGAAATGCTGGATGTCTATGCAATTTTAAGAGCCACAGGGAAACATGTATACAAGCATGTAAATTTCACATTAAACAGAAAGTGGGTGTTTTGTTGCCTATAGAAAATAGGCTAACTCAGTCATACTATTAGTAATTATTTTCATGATAATTACTTACAATTTAACAAGAATTTCAGTGTGTGTGAAGTTTGCTCATTCTCCCAATGTTCACAGAGTTTCTGCAAGACACTTTTATTTCATCACAATATCCAAATACCTTAAATATTTAATGTTTTCGGTGAGTCTACGATTCTTCTGTTAATGTGTGAATATGTCCGTGTTGGTAAATGCAGCCCACAGCAAACCTCTATGCTCTGCATCATAGTCAAAAATTTTAGGTCTCCTGACAAATTTTTACCTTGGGCCCAACTGCCCAATTTTACGCAGAATGTTAAGTGTTCAAGGGCCCCTGTAATTTGCCTCCCCCCATGAATTTGCCAGGGTATCCATACCCCTACTGTGCCTCTGATCACAGGACACTCGAAGCAAATAAGAGATCACTCAGATTCTTTTGAATAATTTGTATGTACAAGAAACTTCAGTTTAACAAAAATATGTTAACTTGCATTTTTCTTTAAAGTAAGAAAATGGATAAAATACACTTAAACATGTTTCAAACTTTTTATAGCAGAGGGGATTAAATACAAAACACAAAAAACACTGATATACAGAAGTAATTTACTGCTGCACTACCCGTCAGTACAGTGAATTAAACCATAAAACAACAAAGCGCCTTGTCTTTCCGGAACAAATATTTGGCGGTTATGTTTCCGGCCGTGCGGGGAGAATGTGAACGTACGCTGTATCTCTCCCGGAGCCATTAGCGTGTGACACCCGATACCTGAGCAGCTTGTGTGATGGAGTTTCGCTAACTGTCGGTTACTGAAACATCACAGAACACAGTGGTTACGCACGTAGAGCTAGGAGCGCAGAGTTTAAGGAGTGACCTCTTCGACATGGCAGAAAACATAGTAAGTCACCGTGTGGTCCGGGAAGCCCCGACAGTGCATGCAAGTGCGGTGTTGTTGACGCCGACCGGCCGGAGTGATGAGGCAGCAGAATTAGCCGGCTAGCTGCCTAGCCGAGACACACCTGGGCCTCGAAGGCCGGTAGAACTGCATTAAACAACACGAACAACCAGCTAACTAACAGTGCAGAAGGCTCAGAGCGGTTAGATGGATGTGGAAATGATTGCTTTTGCGCTGACTTGGCACGATAAGTTAACGAGTCGTTCCGTTTTTAACAGCGCGTGAGTGAAAGTCGTATTTCACAAAGAAGGAGATAGTTTGGCCAGCTAACTACGAGGTGTGTTTGCGGTCTTTTGAAAACTAACAATTTGTCTGTCTGAATTTGATATACAGGAAAACGCAAGACCTTATTTTGGACAATAAATGCTTATGAACTGGCTCGTCATTTTATAAATATTCCAGGAGACGGCCGTTATGAGACTCATCGGTGCTCGTCCAGCCAGACGGGTTACTGGTAAACGGGCCAGGTCCTTGTCGAAGTTTCTCGCCAGTTAGTCATCTAGTCATTGTTCAGTTAACTGTCCAGCTGGTGGTTAGCGGTGTGGATATTTCGTCACAAAACGCTTTTTCAATGTTCATCGGCTTTGTTGGGAAATTTGGCAGGTTTCCATCTAACCTTACTCACTGCGTGTGATTAGAAGGCTTTTTAAATACTTGTTTAGTGTTGCAGTTATGTGCATGATGTATACGTATATTTATAATAAATCATAAGTTTGGGGTCGTTTAGAGTGATCTGTACTTCTGTGACCTCGATTTGCTGCTGCTCCCCACCACCTCGTCCGTTTTCCCCCGCGATAAGGGAAGCCATGTTATTCTCTCAAACTGGAGGAATTAGTAACCCGACAACGCCACATTATGGTCCGTCGACTGGGCGTCGTTAGGTCCGATCACGTTTTATTTTTATTTTACCCATGATGCCAATCTTCCTTCCAAAAAAAATAACTCAAGCCCAGGGTGAACTTGACAGCCCCCTTTTTCCAATAGCTAGAAACGCCCCTGCCGTCGACCACAGTCCCGTCCCAGCTTTCGTATTTAGTTTTTGCATAGTCACAGCTATGCTTCATTCTCGTTAATGTTTCCAGATCTGTTTGTGCGATTATTTTCATTTTAATGTGCCGTTCAGGTACCTGTGCGAAAACTCTTGGTTCCCTTCACTATCTCACTATTATATTAAAAGCTTCTCTTGGTTTTTTTGTGGCACTTCGCAAAATGAGAGTATTAAAGCTGTGCATATTTACGCTATCCCCCCCCCCCAGATCGTCCGAGTCCAGTCCCCGGAGGGAATGAAAAAGATTCCCTCCACCAAGCGGGAGACGGCGGCTGCGTTCCTGAAAAAGGTACAGACCAGCGCACTCAGGCTTCCAGCCAAATTTCATCTGTGTCTGCATTCTTCGGGGTTCAGTTATACGTATGTGTGCCCATGTGAACGTTAACAAATACGCCCAGTTGGTCTCCTATAGCCTCAGGAAAGTGACGCTCCCATTTACTTTTGCTTAGTGAGGCTTGTTTGCAAGATCACCATGTGTTGGCGCTGTTGCCTCTGGCCCTACAGTTGGCAGCATTAAACAATTCATGATGCTATTGGCCATCGTTGAATGCGTCACTTGAATGTCAGGGTCAGTTTCTCTCTCTCTAATCCCCAGCCAGTCCAGTGTAGCTCAGATTTGTCAAAAGGTGACCCTTTTTCAGACAGTGCACTTGTACCAGTGAGCTGTGTGCCGTGTTAAGCGATGCCCCATCCGCTCTCAGGGGATTCATGTTGGAATTAGCTCTCTGTGAGTCTTTCTGAGGTCACAGCTCTGTCCTTGTGGGCAAACGTGACCCGCATCTCCCCTGTGCTGTGCTGCATCTAGACTTCACCTCACACGGCAGTGCAGACCTTCCTCTACTTACGAACTTTCAACGTACGAACTTTCAGACATATGAACGAAGAGGACTGTAAGTCCAAATTGTGTTCGTTGGGCTCCCGTTTCCTGTCTGCAACATATTTTTTTTTCTGCGCACCAGTTCCACCTAGTACGACTCCTGGCCGCTAATCCCGCCGCGCAGTAGCGTAGCAGCGTAGCGTGCGTACTCCCAGCATCCTAGTTATCTGTACTTGCGTATACCCTTAAAATTATGTTGAATAACGGCTTCCGAACGTTTTAAGTTATGAACGGCTGTTCGGAATGTAACTTGTTCGTAAGTAGAGTAGCGTTTGCACCCAGCTGTAATGCGTACTCAGCCACTAGGCCTGTGTGTCACATGTGCTAAATCTCACAAGGTGGGAACGTTCACTCAAATAAGTTAGTGATTCTTATAAAGCTAAAAAAAGGATCTGAGACATGTCACTTTCACCCTTGGTGAAACTCTCTCGGGATGTCTTTTTCCACAGGAAAAAAAATACAGGTGTAATTGATTTAAAATGTAGCGAGTGACTAATCTCCTTAAGTCTAAGCCCTGTATTGTTTTAGATGTGTCCTTGCTGTTGGTCTTGCTGGGACCATTTGATCGTTTAGAGACACTTACCAGGGTCGCTGACCTCCTCGGGTCTCCCGTCAGGGTTAACATCTGACACGTGCTGTTCTGCGTGCCCACCTTTGAGCTGGATCAGACCCGTCTGCGTTATCTGCGTGCCCGCCTTTGAGCTGGATCAGGCCCGTCTGCGTTATCTGCGTGCCCGCCTTTGAGCTGGATCAGGCCCGTCTGCGTTATCTGCGTGCCTGCGTTGCCTTGCTCTCCATAGCCGAGTGCTTTTCTCCGTCTGGCTCCATCCCTAAGCTACCGCCCTCCATAACATTGGGTAACCTTTGTTCCTGAGGTATTTTCAGGGTTAAATACCACTGCAACCACATGCCTTTTGCCCTCATTTGTCTGTCCTGAGCTCAGCTGACCGCTGGACCGTTACTGGGAGTCTTACTGTGATTAATTGATCTCCAGTTGGAACATTGAGGTCGAGTCCCTCTGCTGGCCATCTTAGGTAGCTACAGCACATGGTCTGCTCTTGCTGATCCCAGAGACTCTGGGCAAAAGTTTTCCTTTGTTTCATTATTTTCCCTCTTAGTAGCACTGGACATGTTTATGGAAAGGAGTTGAAGCCTGAAATCACTACACATTTTGTCTGAACAGTGGTTTATGCCATTGTGCTGTTTAATTTTGGTACACACATGCCTGATAAGTGGTACGCTGTGATTGGATAATCTCTTCAGAGCTCCACCCCCTGTTCTGCCTCCTCCTCACAACAGGTGGCCAAAGAGTTTGGCTTCAGCTCCAATGGTTTCTCTGTCTACCTGAACCGGAACAAGACTGGGGAGATCGTGTCCCAGAACAAGGCCCTCAGCCTGCTCAAGATTAAGTAAGTTCCCACCTTGCATGTGGTTTTCCCTGCTCAGGATGTTGGAGTGTTCAGTCAGTTACCAGTAGTACACAGCATGAATTCCGCAGTATAATTAGTGCAAGATTGTGTAATTAGAATGTTCCCCCTAGACCGGCATGGCTAATATCCCCCTTTAAGTATTTGATCTACTTCTGATGCCTGGACACAACAGTAATGGGTGGATTTTGGGTTAGTTTCGTCTTTACTGAAGTGCACTGACTGAGTGACAGACCTTAATCTGTAAAGGGGTTCAGCTGTTGATATGGGATTCAGGGTTTGCATGTTAGCTTGTGCCTCCGCTGGTTTAGCCCTCCGCTGGTTTAGCCCTCTGCTCGTTTTTGTCTGTAGATGCCTGAAGGTGACTTATCTTGTGATGTCTTCCCCCTGCTGCCCATCTCAGCATGGTCTCTTCTACAGGCCTGAGTCAGTCTGTCTATCCCTTATCTTAGCCTTTGTTTCTGTGTCCTCGACTCCTTGCAGACATGGAGACATGCTCTTCCTGTTCCCCTCTGGAGCTTCTGGATCCTCCAGTGAGGTCATGGATGTGGCTGCCCCACACTCATCTTCCTCGCTGCCCTCCTCCTCCTCCTCCTCCTCCTCGACTTCGTCAATGTCGCGCTCCCTGTCCGCGACCCTGATCCCGGAGGACGAGATCGACCAGTTCCTGGCCAAACAGGACGGGAAGATCTATAGGAACAGAGACCCCCAGCTGTGAGGCTCCCTTTACACTGTCCCTCTCATAAGCCATAGGGTGGTCGTGATAATTGGTGGGGCTGCTTAATTTATCGGTGGGTAAGAGGTTCGGGAGTTCTTTCCTTTAGTTCCCCCTGCTGGGCGGTGGATGTTAATGCAGCTGTTTGTTACTGGGTGCGGTGACTTTTCTTGGGGTGTCAGAATGACTGAGCCTGTCTTCCGCTGCCTGTCTAGGTGTCGACATGGGCCCATGGGGAAGTGTGTGCACTGTGTGCCCCTGGAGGTGAGAGTGGCCCGACCCCGCGCATCTGCGGTTACCATGGCTACCAGGCTGGGTGTAACCATGTTCTCTTGTTTGTTATGGCAGCCCTTCGACGAAGACTACCTAAACCACCTGGACCCCCCCGTCAAGCATATGTCCTTCCATGCCTACATCCGCAAGCTGACGGGAGGCGCGGACAAGTGAGTGGGGGGGGGGTGTCGGTGTCCCAGAGGCGTGCTGTGTACGCAGTATTGAAGTTAGTCGCGTATCCCTAGCTGGTTAAGAACTAACCAGTCTTGTGTGACAGGGATCATCTAAGCTGCCAGTTAAGAGATCGCCGACAACCCGCAGTGCGCGCAGTGTGTGAGCGTGTGTGCGCGCAGTGTGTGAGCGTGTGTGCGCGCAGTGTGTGAGCAAGTGTGATCTCTGTCCAGGGGCAAGTTCGTGGCTTTGGAGAACATCAGCTGTAAGATCCGCTCGGGCTGCGAGGGCCACCCTCCGTGGCCCGAGGGCATCTGCACCAAGTGCCAGCCCAGCGCCATCACCCTCAGCAGACAGGTAGCCCTTCAGCCAGGTCGCTCGTGCTGCCTAACTGGCTGCCGCTGAGACCCCTTCATCTCATTCGCTGTGGTCCTGCTCATGAGGGACAGAGGGATGCACGCCAGCGCCGAACTCTGATTTCCTCATTGTTTTGTGTTCGTCATAGAAATACAGGCACGTAGACAACATCATGTTTGAGAACCACACCATCGCAGACCGCTTCCTGGACTTCTGGAGGAAGACGGGAAACCAGCGGATGGGCTACCTGTACGGAAGGTACACCGAGCACAAGGACATCCCGCTGGGCATCCGGGCCGAGGTGGCCGCCATCTATGAGCCCCCACAGGTGAGGAGGACAGTCTCACTGGAGCCATCAGCCACAGCCGGTGTGCAATGGCATGTGTCCTCCACTAGGGGGAAATCAAATTCCATGATATATGTGATGCTGGAATGAAGGTGTGCCTGACGTCAGTCTGTTACAGCTGGAGCCATATGAAATAACGGCGTCCATAATGCGTGTCCGTTCCTGGAAGACCATTAAATCATCATTAGATCATTAAAACTATTAAAATACTTCTTTCCATCTTGTGGCACCAGCGAGATTAGGCTTATTTTTTATAATTTTTTTTCTGCTACATTTGCGCTAGGGGTGAAAATTGTTCCTGGTCGCCCCGAGGGGAGTTTCCTGCATTGCAGTTCTTTTCTGCCTCCCAGCTTACTGTCCCTGATTTGCCCCCCCTCATCTTGCAGATCGGCACCCAGAACAGCCTGGAGCTGGTGGATGATCCCAAGGCTGCGGCAGTGGAGGAGATTGCTGCCAAGCTGGGACTTTGCAAGGTGGGGACCAGGGGGGACCTTTCGTTCACTGCCAGGGGGTGTAGCCGACTGTGGTGGCCTTTGGTTCGTTAATCGGGCGTTGTGTGTGTGTGTGTGTGTGTGTGTGTCTGTGTGTGTTTCAGGTGGGCTGGATCTTCACGGATCTGCTGTCAGAGGACACCAGGATAGGAACCGTGCGCTACAGCAGGAACAAGGTGACCCGGCCGTCCCCGAGGGCAGCGCTGGGGCCTGCTGTGCCGCGGGCTTGTCGTCCGCCGCTGCTCACTGGGGTTTCCTGTTTAGAGATAATGGCATAGAGCTCTCGTGTCGGCTGTCAAGCGATACGTTCATGTACTTTGTGTTATATTCCCGGGACACTGAGATTCAGTGTGCAGTTCCCATCATAACAATATATTAATGTAACTTCAGAGACATTTACATGAAATAGCTATAAATTATAGATACACTAACGCCTGGAGCTGTGAGTGAGTCTCTGTGAGTGAGTCTCTGTGAGTGAGTCTCTGTGAGTGAGTCTCTGTGAGTGAGTCTCTGTGAGTGAGTCTCCACACGGAGAGCTGGCTGCCTTGTGGTTTTGGGCAGAAACTCTCCCTCAGCCGTGTGGTGCAGGCTGTAGCGCCTACCGGAGGCACGGAGGGGGAGCAGGTGGCGGCCGGCGTGTGTGGGGCGGCAGGAGATGGTGCTTCCTCTGCTGTAAACACTCTCCGTCATGGGCAGTGGAACACAGATGGGATCTCGGACCACTGCTGACAACTCAACGTCTTTAAAAGATTCCAGCGAAAATATCTATAGGCACAGACATGAGTTTAGTGCAAACCGCGGCTCTGAAGGCGTGCCCC